GGTTCAGTTCCCAGCACCCACTGGGTGACTCACAACTTCCTGTAACTTCAGGGTTTAGATGCCCTCTTATGGCCTCCAAGGGCATCATACACACATGATATTATGTGCATACACACACACATATATGCAGCACAATACTCATATGCATAAAATAAGAAGAAATTTTTTAAAAATTTAGAAAGCTGGAGTAAGGGAGAAAAGCCCAAATTACCAACCATGTACATTTAAAGATGGTGGTTGACTTTACAAAGAGCAAACAGTGGTGTGTGGGGCTCAGTAAACTGTAACTGGGATGAGCTTCTCTTCAGCCCTTGGATCGGAGAGACTGTGCCTGCTCCTCTCCCACTTCCATGAACTTGGAGCATTAATTCTGATCAAATCACAGTCCCAGAGTGAAGCCGTAGAAACAAGTATCCCCTGCTTTCTTGGGAAACTTCCCCTTTTGTCCAACAGTGTGCACTCTTTCGTCCTTTCTGTGCTAGATAAGAAGTCAGTTTGGAGTTTTACATGACAGCTGTTTTTTCTAGTTTTGGGAGAAAGTAGAAAGTTTGGTGGCCAACTTGGTATGGCAGCACAGGCACATAACTTAATTCTGAACTTAGTTTCAGGACCCATCTATAGAGCTACTAAAACATTTTGCACCTCTTCCTCCACAGTAGAGAAGCAGTAGGAACATTCCTGTCTCCCATTTTCTCTCTCGCTTGAATAGCACCTTGAGTTCTGAGCTGGGGGTGAGGCTGGTTTTAGTCTGGAGGCTGGAGGCGTAGGGGCTCATGTCTCTTTGTTCATGTCAGAAAATTTTGGAAAGCTGATGACCTTCTCAGAATAAAAACAGAGAAAGCTTTGTGATCCTTCCCCTAGAGGTTTCTAATAGACGATTCTAACACCCACTGGCCGTCATTCATTTGTCTAACTAAAGCAACCACCCCGAAATGTCTCTAGAACTCAGCACAGGGTTTGTGTGGCGGTTGTAGATGTGTCCAGTGTGTGGCCCACAGGACACATGTGCCCCAGGCCCAACACAAACAGCCACAACATATATATATATATATATATATATATATATATATATATATAGAGAGAGAGAGAGAGAGAGAGAGAGAGAGAGAGAGAGGACCTAGTGCAGACCCATGCAGGCTCTGTGGTTGCTGTTCAGTCCCTTTGAGCCCCTGTGAGCCCTGCAGTTGATTCTGTGGGACCATGTTCTCCTGGTGTCATCAACCCCTCTGGCTCCCACAATCCTTCCCCTCTTTTGAAAGGTTCGTCCAGCAACTCAAGAGTGGATCTTGTAGACCACAATATCATGTTAACAATGCCAAAGACTGGAGCTGCCTACTGTAGGCGAACTCAGACACAGGATAGATTGATGACTAGTATCTGCAATGTTGTGGATATGTGAACCACACAGGCCGCCCCAGCCTCACCCAGGCAGATGCTCCAGGGCAGCTGCCAGCTGAGTTGCAGGCCATGGAATGTGCTGACCTTCCTTCCTCGGGAAGATGGCACCATGAGGAATGTTATTATTAGCAGGAGAGCATTTGTGCTGATCTGTCAACACTCCCTCATTCAGACTAAGACTGGGCACATTCAGGATGGTATGGCCACGGACAATACCCCCTCATTCAGGGTCTTTATGGAACAATGACAAACCCGCAGTGTCACACAGGTGACACATTTTTGAAATCTCTTCTTTTGGTGATGGTCACGCCATACTTGCCCAATTTGCTTCTTGGCTCTCTGGCAATAGTTTCCTTTTCTGGTTCTTTCCTCCATTGGTTTTATTTTCAAGTCAGGTTCTTGTGTTTTCTAGCATGGCCTTGAACTCACCATCCTCTTGCTCTAGGCTCCCCAGAACTTGGATTTATAGGCAAGTATTCCATCCCCAGATATCCTGTCTTTAATTAGACAATTCCTCAAAACTTAGTCCTAGATTTAAAAAAAATCCCTTCTCCCTTCTTCCCTTCTTTCTTCTCTTGTTTTCCTTTTTTCTACTTTTATTGACTCTCATAGTTTCAATTATCACCTAGTTTGCAAGATCAATTTTAAGTTTTTGTTTTTGTTTTTCTTTTTAGGCAATGTCTCTGTGTAGCCCTGGCTTGCCTGGAGCTCAGAGAGATCCTCCTGTCACTGGGTTCTGAGTGCTGGGATTAAAGGCGTGCCACTATGCCTGGTCTTGTTTCTACTTCAAGTCCATACTTGTCTCTTGGACTCTCAGTGATGTGTTCCACAACCTGACCCAACCCGAGCGCTCAGAACAGAGCGGGTCCCCTTCTCCAGGGTCGCCACACATTCTTCCTAGGTGGTCCTCATCTCAGTAGTTTTACTGCACGCTGTCTAATTCCTTCATTCAGTCACCCACTCTCCCACACTGCAGTATTCAGATGGGTCAGTTCCTGTCACTTCCTTGTTTATTGTTTTCTCAGGTTTCCCCCTGAGCCCGATCCTCCTGTCTCTCTTCCATTGGCTGCACCAGCCTCAGAACCAATACTGGCAAAAATTCTTGCGTCTCCTCGAAGTCCTAGCAAATCCTTTCCAGGCCTCTCTTCCTTCCCTGCTTCCTGCTGATGGACATTTTCATTTGTATATTCTTGTTTTAAAAGATCTTGTCCTTTCTTTGGAAGTAGTTCTAGGTTTGTATGAAATGACAGTAATCCCAGGTGCCTTTCCCCTAGGGGTGAGCATCTTAGATACCCACATACAATAGCAAAGCTACTGCAACCCTAGACCCTTTGTGGGTTTTGTTGCTTCATGGGCTCGTGTACACAGCCATATTTGTGAATGTTTGATGTGTGCCTCTGCGTAGTTCTATGACTTCTTATCACATATGTAACCCCCAGGATCCAAAGCTGTGTCTCCAGCCTCAGGATCCTCTACACCTAAGAATGCTTCTTAAAAAACACAGTTGTCTGCCTTCGGTTTGAAAGCCTTCACTGACTTTATAGGCCCAAATGCTTAAATGAGGGCTGTAAGTGCCTATTTAGTCTGGCTTCATTGTCTCCTGGGTGGCCTCTTGCCCTGTCACTTTGCAAAGAAGCCTACACTCATGTTTATGGGTCTTTCTCTTCCTTCTGGTTTGCAAAGCTCCTGGCTGCTCAGAGCCTGCTCACGCAGGTCCCTTTACCTGGCATCTCCTCTCCTTCCCACCCAGTTAACTTTTGATCTGCCCAGTACTGACTTAAGCCCCTTTCCCTGGAGCGTTTCCTTGACCGCTCTGGCTAGGAGCTCTCATTGGTTTCCATCACCAACTCTGCCTTTGCTCTATGGTGTTAGTTACATAATAGTGATTAAATAGTTGTGCAGGGGGTCTTAGTAATTTGAGGTCTCTTTGGAGGCCTTAAGAGTGTCTTGCTCATGGTGTATCTTTTCTGTCTAGCGTAACAGCCAGCTTAGCAGCTGCTAGTGAAACAGTTGCTGAGGTGGTGAGCTCTTCTTAGTGGAAACTGGCTTTTGACAGCTGGGGTATGGCCCGAGACCAGGGAACTGGACAAAATCACCTTGCCTAGGTGGGTGTACGTCCCATGATCTCAGCTCCATCCTTTCCAACAATGTCCTGTCAGAGAACCTGGCCACTTGTAGCCCACACTGCTGAGTCTACAGCTGAAAATGTCCCCACTATGCCCCTTCTATTTTCACTCTAAGAGATTAGCGTAGGAAACAGCTTGGCTAGGATCCTCCTCAGATCGCACTTTGGGATGTTTTCTGGAGCATGAGAGGGCTATTCGTGCAGGGTTTTAATTTAAGGCTTCTTTCTGGCCTCGTCTCTTTCCCCTGTCATCCTACCAGGTTATTTACCCCTACGGCTAACACTCACAGAAACTTCAGAGTGGTTTATATCGGGGGAGCCCCAAACCTGGTGGGTCCTGATGCTGACAGCCCACCCAGTGTTTTACCCAAATGAGCAGGGTCCGATGGGCTCTCTGAAGATTCCAGAGGGAAACATGGGGTTCCTGCTGGGATGTGGCTAGGGACAGCACTTAGAAGTCTGTCTGTGAGCACACTTGGTCAGTGATGCTGCTAACTCTAATCAGTGCCCCCTGTTTATAGTATCCTTTAAAGAATAAAGGGGCAAACGTTCTGTTCAGTGGGAGCTCTGGAGAAGGATGGGGCCTGGGCTGGGCCAAGCTGCTGGTTCTTTCCAGCAGAGGCAGCGGTGGGATTCGCTCGTCCAGGTCACAGCGCTGGGAAACCTAGCAAGTTGTAACTCCCAGTCGTCTGTTCACTCTCGGCCTTGCTCTGTAGACTCAGTGGGGGCTCATGCAGTCCTGCTTGGCAGGTCAAGCTTCAGGGATCTCTTCAGGGCTGTGTGATCTATGGTCACAGCTTAAAAGTCCCTCTCCCGACCTGGCTATAGGTTTAGCTAATGAGACACTTGTAGGATAGGACTGGTCCTCTGCTGGGCTTGTCACTCCCTTGACTTACCTGCCAGACCCCTTTCTTATGTTCCTGCGACTGCTAAGCATTTGGGTTTTTGTTCATCTCCACTGTGGGTCTGGAAGGAACCACAAAAATACCATCCATCACCCCTAAGCCCTGTCTCCGAAAACCTTATGAGATTCCTGACCTTCTCAGGCAGTGTCAATAGGAGGTCCCAGCTCCAAGTAGCTCTGAGGAGTTTTCCTGTCCCAGCTTCATCTGGGCGGGGGGTGATGCTGATGTCCCCCCCCCCCCGCCCCAGGCTGCCTTGGGCTGTTTAGTCCTCTCTGGTCACAGCTTTCTACTCTACTTGTTACACTTCCGGGGGACATGGCTCTTGGGGTAAGAGGAACTGGTTGGTTATTAGTACGAAGACGAATGCCCACTTCTCCAGTCCTGGCGTGACTGGAGGCGGTGGTGTAAGGACTGTGGATAGAGCCCCATTCAGACTCCTGGTCTGTTTCCCAGCCTGTGCTTCCTCTGATTTCCTCTATGCTCCCTCCGAGGAGATGTGTCTTGAATTAGTAGCGTTGGGGGTACAGGTCACACTCTTTTTTCTTAATACTGTTGCCTCTGGCTTCTTCCAGGTCACCCAACTTGCCTGCAGTTCACTCTGAACATGACCGAGGCGGTCAAGACCTACAAGTGGCAGTGCATAGAATGCAAATCCTGCATCCTGTGTGGGACTTCGGAGAACGATGTGAGTTTGGACGATTCTGTGGCAAGAAGAGGCAGAAGGGGCTGGGAGCCCTCTGAGGGGTGGAAAGGAGACAGAACTCCGGGCCCTGGGTTCCTGTGGACAATGACTTTCTTTCTAGCCTCTACAACCTTTGGGACCCTTGTACTTTTGCCTTGGGTCCCTCATGCCTTCAGGGAAAGATGCCAGAGGTGGCCATCAGGGGATGTCTTCTTGGTCATTGTCCTTAGCAGCCTGGCTGCTTAGAGCCTCTGCTCTACAGAGTTTAGCGACTGTGGCGGTGGTCAGTGCTTCAGGTGAGATGCATGTGGCTGTTTTCCACCACAGTCTAGTGCATAATCTCAACTGGATGACATAGTAAACACAAGAAATGCAGAATACTCAACAACTATTTTTTTTTTGTTATGGGCCATCTCAAACATGTACAAAGGCTGAGAGAATAATGATCTCATATACTCTGTCCCAGCTCCAACAATAGCCATTGTGTCCATTCTTATTTCATAAGTACTATTATCTTATCCTTCATGTATGCGTTGTATGTACCTGTTCATGTAGGTGTGTGTACATGTGTTCATACATGTGGAGTTTGGAGTTCCATATCGGCTGTCTTCCTCCATCACTCCATATCTTAATTTTTAAAGACTGATAACTCACTGATCCAAAAACTCATCTGTTTGGCTAGCTTGCGTAGCCAATGGACCCCTTTTATCTCCAGACACTGCTCCCTTACCCAAAGCTGGGGTATCACTTTTACACAGTGCTAGGGTCCTGGAATCAGGTCCTCATGTTTGTGCAGCAGACATCTTGCCAACAGAGCCATCTTCCTAGCCCCTACTTTTCAATCCTAGTCATCATATAATTTCACTGGTAAATATTTCACCTGCACCTTTAAAAGGACAATAGCTGCCTTTTAAGTGAAAATAACCAGCATTTTCCTGTAGCTTCAAGTAATGAACATTTCTACTCACTCAGCTGTCCCTTAAATGCATCGGCTACAGTTGAGATCCAAATGACGTCTGTGCACTGCAACCAGTTAATCCAGCTTGAAGTTTCTTTTCCCATCTGCAAATAAGACATAGATGTTCCCCCCACCTTACAAATCAGCTGTTCAACGGAGCTCCCAGGCTTTCATTTGCCTGAACACATCCTCATGGGGTTGACAGTCCCTCTGCCTTGATCCAGAGTCTGTCTCTTTCTTTGCCATCTTCCTCAGTTCTCTGTGTCTGTCTCTTTTCTAGAAGACTACCTAACAGACATCGCTACACACTTTTGATGGAGTCTGTCGTCTTTGGTGTCTCTTTTTGTCATGGTACCTCTATTGATGGCATTGAGTAAGATCATTTCATTAGAGGCTGAAAACTAGGCATTTTCTTATTTGAATTTGGATTTATTTTGTTTATTAACTGGGGTAATTCCATAGTAAGACACTTACCCATGCTGCCCTTTGGTACTGTATACAAAAGGCAGCCATATGTGCTTGCTTTTTTCCCTTATCAGTGTGTAAGATAATATGATAGTTAAGCTATCTATTCCTGAGCCTGGGGAGATGGCTCCATGGGTACGAGCAGGGACTGCTATTTCAGAGAACTCGAGTTCAGTTCCCAGCACCCACATCAGGTGACTCACCACTGCCTATAAGGCCAGCTCCATGGTAACACTCTCTTCTGGGCTATGGGGACCTTCACTGACAAATACACACCTGATCCTAGATGCACCTACATATGCATAATTAAAAATAAAACAAATCTTAACAAAATATCATCTAGTTATGAAAATAAAAGACACTCAAGAAAACATGAATCATAAGATTGCTTCTAAACACCAGAAAATGTTTATATTTTCTAATTGAGCCCATATCATGTTTAATGAGAAAATAGTTGATATATTTCCACCAACATTAGGAACTTGGTGTGGGAAGGATGCTCCACATGCTGCTAGCATTCAGTATTTTTGTAGAGATACTAGTTAGTACCGTTTGACAAGAGAAATAGATTAGAGGCACAAGGACAGATGACAATACCAGTTGAGCATTGTTAATCCACAGAGGCCTGCAGAATCCAGAGCTTTACAAATACCACTATGATGCCACAGCTGGAAAATTCTACTGCACCAAAACTTTATCTCATGCATAAAATCATTAAAAAGTATCGCATAAGACCTCCTTTAGGATATGTGTATGAAGCCTATATGAAACACATGGATTTTGCCTTTCTTCTTGGATTTCAACTCAAAGATGCCTCGTTATATACACACAAATTGGAGACACTTCTAGTTTCAAGCACTTCGAGTACAGGGTATTTAACCTGTACTATGACACTATTTTCACGAGATGTGACAGTATGTCTGGAAAACCGTAGAGAACCAGTGATAGGGCTAACTTGAGTATGCAAAGTGAAAACGAGGAGCTGGAGATTGGCTCAGTGGTTAAGCGTTTACACTGCTCTCGCAGAGGATCTGAGTTCTGTTCTGAGCATCTATTCCAGGGGCCTCGCCGCTGTCTTTGGACTCCAGCTCCAAAGGATCAGACACCTCTGGCCTCTGCCAGTAGCTGCACTCATGTGTACATACCCACATGTAGACAGATAGACACACAATTAAAAATAGATCTTACAAAAGTAAAAACTAACCAATTAGTAAACATTGCTTTATTTACAGTACACCAAGAAGTCATATTTAGAAATATGCTTAACAGAAGGTACGCAAAGTCTATATGAACAAAAAAAATTATAATGCATTTGAAAATATAAAGGTCTGGTGCACCGATGTCCTCTGCTATTGGAGAAAAAGACAACAATGCAGAGACGTCAGTTCAGCCCACGTTAATTTGCAAATGGACACCAGGAGCAATAACAGCATCAACAAGCCTCCTTTGTGGAGTTAGGCTGATGCTTATGTTTCTGCAGAAGATGAAGTGGGTTTGGATAGCAGAGGAAGGACTGGGGTGGTATCTCTGTTGTAGAGCACTTTCTAGTTTGCCCAAATCCCTGGGTTCAGTCCTCAACACAGTAGAAACCAAGCAGAGTAGTGTATGCCTGTGGTCCCAACATTTGGGGGATGGGGTGGGTAGAAGCAGGAGGATCAGACATTCAAGATCATCCCTGCCTACTTACTGAGTGAGCTTTGGGCCAACCTGGGCTACATAAAACCCAGGCTCAAAAAAGAAAATGGCCAAGGAAATTCAGATAAACTGTGCTGGAAATGGGAACTAGCAGACATTAGATCTTTCGGGGAGTCCCCAGAGTGGAATGGTGTGGTAGTGATGTGTGAGCGGACAAATAGACCAGCTGGGAGAGAATAGAAAGCCTATGAATAGCCCCACCCACATACGGGATAGAGTATAGGATAAGGGTTGCATCTAAAATTACAGTGTAAAAGATAGACTTTTTAATGAATGATGCTAGGACAATAGGGGAGTTGTTTGGGAAAATACAAAATTAGTTTCGTATCTCACACCCAGACATAAGAACAAGCTCCAAATAGGCTTGGAATTTAAATGTCAAAACTAAGACCAGACCAGCACCAGATTCCTCTTTCACTTCAACTCCAGGAAAAATTTTCCAGTTGATTCAAAATAGAGAAACAATAAAGTGAAATATTGAAAAATTAGACTATGGAAATTTGCATAGTCAAAAACCACGAGTCAGTCAATGGTGACTGACAAGCCTGGAGAACCTGTAGCAGGTGCAGGTGAAGTTCCAATGAACCCAGGATGGAAAGAACTCTGATAAATGAGATATGAAACCAGGAACTTGGTAGACAAGGAGAAGCAAACATGAACAATGATTCATAAACAATATAAAAATGACCTTTAAACATTGAAATAAATACTCAAACACACCCACAATGAAAGAAACTCAAAGCAAAACCAAGATCCCGTTTTCCGCCTATCCGATGGGCAAAATTTTTTCAACTGTAACAATATATGAAACTATAGAAAAAAATTAGTTCCTGCATGTAGTATTAGAGGGAATGCAAAGTGGCATGGTCCTTCTGGGGAGGGGGATTTGGTGATCTCTAACAAAACTATGACACACTTAACTTTTCACTGAGCCATCCCATCTGTGGGAGTCTACACTGAAGGATACATCCTACTACAGAAGTATATGTCTGTGAGATGGTTTATTAATTAAAATATCAGAAATAACCTCAATGTGCGTGCATAGACAAATAATCAAATAGACATCGGCACAGCTGTGCAGCGAAGCTGTATAGAGCATGGGGAGGATATCTGTGCATGGATGTATAATAATTTCCATGATACATGGACAAAACCAAAGTTGATTTTGCTATCTATTGATGGTAGGCTGCATTTATTGGAAGGAAAGGGCTATATAAGGAACTACACATAGATCTGTGTACTTATACAAAAGAATAAACAAAGAAGTAACGGGAGTGGATATCTTCTGGAGTGGATGGAAATGGGGAGGAGAAATACAGTGATGTGGGAGTGAGTGGGGATAAGGGAGGACCAGCATGACTTTGGGAATACTTGGAAAGCTTGAATCAAGAGTAAGTTTCAGAGACAGATACATACTTAATGCTAACCAGGAGGCTAGAGATGCTAAAATGGAGCAAACAGAAAGCAATGAATCTATCTATACAACAAGCAGATAGCAGAACCAGACTGAGGAGCTGGAGAAGAACCAGCCTAAGTAGTTTTGGAAAATGGTGTTTTGACTGTGTGCTGCAAGACTAAAGGACAGACACAGCTGCATCACAAATGCTGTGCCCCAGCTAAGAAATTTATTTTTGTGGGTGTATGGATTAGTAATTCTGAAAGCGACTTTATATGTCTAAATGAATAGCTGAATATTGTGATGGAGAGTCATAGTTCTACACGCCAGAGCAAGAATAACCATAAAAGAGGAGGGGAGGAGCCTGAATCCTGAGATTTTATATTGGAGTGTGCGTGCATGTGTGTGTATGTATAAACTCATGGTCAGTAAGCATATATGGTCATATAAGCATATATGAATTATATATATATATATATACATATATATATATATATATACACATTTATTTCTGAGACCTGTTGGCAAAGAAGACTATGTTAGTCAGCTTCTCATTACTACAGTAAAGTGCCAATTAATTAAAGAGGAAAGAATTACTTAACTCATAACTTTGGAGGTTATGAAAGTTTCAGTCCAAGATCAAGTGGCCCAGTTACTTTGGGATTTTGGTGAGGATACTTAACAGGGAAAGTATGTAACAATAAAGTGCTCATATAACAAAACAGAGAGAGAGAGAGAGAGAGAGAGAGAGAGAGAGAGAGAGAGAATGAATATAAAGACCAGGGTCCCACAGTCTCTTTCAAAGTATATCTTCAGTGATTTAAAGCCCTGTGACGAGACCCCACCTCCTAGAGGTCTCAAGCACTTCCCCAATACCATTGCCCTGGGTACCAAACTTATGTAAACCTTAGGGAACATTACTCATCTTCAAACCTAGCAAGGACCTAGAAGCACTGAGGACACCCAACACCCAGAGATTGGTTCTACACAGTATTCCCTAGTGAAAGGTGCTAAAGATTCTTATAGAAATGACTAGTGCCAGGCCGGGCAGTGGTGGCGCACACCTTTAATCCCAGCACTCGGGAGGCAGAGGCAGGCGGATCTCTGGGAGTTTGAGGCCAGCCTGGCCTTCAAGAGCTTGTTCTGGGACAGGCACCAAAGCTACAGAGAAACCCTGTCTCGAAAAACCAAAAAAAAAAAAAAAGAAAGAAAGAAAGAAAAAGAAAAGAAAAGAAAAGAAAGAAAGTGCCAGGGGTGGAGTACCAGCTACAGAGGACATGCCTGGAATATGTTGTGATGTCAGAATGTAGGGCTATGCTAAAAAAAAAAGTGACAGTGTGTGCCTAAAGGACGCAAGAACCAAAAACCTGAAAGAGCATTTAGTGGTCAAATCTTAGAACAACTGAGAAAGAAAACTGAGAAAGATACCATTGGCTTTTAACATAAAGAATAACACAGATATCCCTTCTTATATATGGAGTTGAAAGAATGGATGGAGGAAGGAGGCAAAGGAGAAAGGAAGGAAAGAAGGAAGGAACTAGGCAAAGGAGGGAGGTAATGGAAGATAAATTGGGGAACTGTCACAGACTGAGGGCCACAAAGAAAACCTAGGGTCATAGCTCTCCTTGGTCGAGTTCTTCTAACACACATGGAGCTTTGAGCTCTGTCTCTGGTTCTGTGTAAACTGGTGTAGGAGCTCACACCTGTGGTCCTAGCACTTGGAGGTAGAGGAGGACCAGGAGTCCAAGGCTGTCCTCGGCTACATAGGGATTTTTGAGGCCAGCCTGGGCTTCATGACACTCTGTCTCCCCAAATACAAAGAAAGAAGGCCCGTGAGATGGCTCAGTGGGTAAAGGCACTTGCCTACAAGCCTGAGGACTGGACTTTGGTCCACGGGACCCACATGGTAGAAAGAGCAAACTTCTTCTTCAAGTTGTCCTCTGACTTCCATTAGGGTGCTGTAGTATGTACCCCAATTCCCAGCCAATAAATAAGTAAAAGGAAAACCAAATAAATAAAAACCCTGAAAACCTGACCCCCACAAATGCTATTAGGGAAAAAAAGTGGGAAAATGGAGACATTAAAGCCTTTCCTATAAACCGGCAGTCTCCACTCTGTGATTTTACCACACACTGTAAGATGTTACTACTCAGGAGAGCAGAAGAGAAAATAGAGAAACTATCATTTCTGCAACTTTTCTCTAAGTCTAAAATGGTATCAAAATAAACAAAAATGTCCAATTTCCCTAATATCTTCCAAAGGGACTAAGTTTTAAAAATGCTATTTTTATGTGCTGAAGAACTTAAATATATTTTGTTTCCATCCATTGCAGTTAAAATTCTCTTTGGACCACAGGAACATTCAGCATGGAGATTAAGCTCTTTTGACACTATCCCGAGAGCTTTCAATAGCTTTCTTGCTTTTGGACAAAGAAAGATCTCTGTGCACTTCATGAGCCAGTCTAAAACCAGCCACTTCCCAAAGACTTCTGGCTGGTCCGGAGGGATTAATTTTTACTGTCTGTCATTGATTCAGATCATTCTCTTTTCTTCTTTTCTTTTTTCTTTTTTGTTTTTTTGAGACAGTGTTTATCTATGTAACCCTGGCTGGCCTGGAACTCTTTATGAAGACCAGGCTGGTCTTGAACTCAAAGAGATCCTATCCCAGGCCTCTGCTTTCCAAGTGCTGAGATTAAAGGCATGTGCCACCACCCCACTCCCCTGCAGCTTTAGAACATTTTCAGTGGCAGATCTAGAACATATTTTTGTTATTTAGAAGGTAAATACACTATTTATTTATTCAAATAACTATAGATTACATTTAGAACTAATTATGTGGTCTTGCTGTCAATTCATTGATCTCATGTCTACACTTTCTTTCAGCATGTAAAACGTTTTGCTACTCAATGACACCATCACAATCACAATTTGATAAACATGCAACTAATATAGATAGTTAACCAGTTCCAATATTATCATCAATAATACAATTGCTGAAAAATATACACACACATTTATATCTAGCTTGGTTGTTAAGATCATGTGTCAGTTGGGTAGTCTGGTGGTAGAGACAGAAGGATCACAAGGTTGAAGCTAGACAAGACTACACAGAAAGACCCTGATTCAAAAGAAAATCCAAATAAAAAAAATAATAAAAGATACGTCACTACCCAAAATGGTTTCTGTCTGTAGTTGTTTCTCTAGCTAGATATACAAGTATATTCACTTAAGAGCAATTCACTTTTAAGGATATAGTAAGATTTTAATTTTGGTCTTTGACTATACAAAATAGTTCCACAAACAAATCTAGAAAGAATGATGTATTTAAGAAAACCTAGCTTCTATTTTCTAATTCCAAACTTAACTTCCCCCTTTGCTTACATATGACTTCTCAAAAATTATAAAGCTTGTCTTTACATTATGTTTAAATGTAAGCATGTATACTGCATATTCAATCCAGAAGTAAACGGTAAGAGATAGGGAGGCTTTCTCCACTTCCTTTTTTCCCCACGGAATATTCTAGAAGTCCCTTGATGGCAATGTGTAGCCATAGCCTTTATCCTTATGCTTTCATGGTTCTCTGTTAGTCTCATCTCTTACTGACTGGCATTTGGGTTGATTCTAGACTTTAATCTTGCTGACAGTGTTAACACAGAGCCTGAGAAGAGGGCCACAAATGAGCAGGGTGGTTGCTGGGACTGCAGGGATTTTCTCACAAGGTCTCCTGCAGAGCCTAGAATGAGATTTTCATCTCACTGGCTCTGTAGCCATCAACGGATCCAGCTTCTTAGACCTAGGGGGTTAGAACTCCTTTGAAATTGTATTTTTCATAGGTGTTAGCATGAGCGAATATTGCCCTGAAAAGTAGACAAGAAAGAAGGGACAATGGTTCTAGGCAACTACTTAAGACGAATGTGGCTGGACCCTCTCATACGCTTGAATTTTGGGGAGGAGGAGCCCAGTCTACGGTATCCCTCCTTTTTGTAGCCTCGTATCTATGCTCTGGTAGGGATTATTGATGTCTTTAGGATGTCACTCATGTTACTTCTCTTTGTATTACAACCAAATCGTTTGGTCCCACGGCTTTTTTTTTTTTTTTTTTTTTTTTGGCTCTGATGCCATGGTGTGCCTTGTGGGAGTCAAGCTGTTGTTTTGGTTTTCGCCCTCTTCCCTACCTGGGCTTCTTTTGGTTTCTGTGGTCTCTGCTGTCCCTTAATGCCCATGAGTTAAAGTGTGTTTTCCTCGCTTTCCTTGGGGAAAGACTTCAGAGACTTCTATGAAAGCCATGAATTCACTCTATTTTTAGAAATACACATTTCTCAAAATACACATTTCTACCTATATGCAAAACTGTGCAGATGATTTCATGGACAGCCCTCCACGAACACCACCATTTCAGAGGCACCTGCTTTCATACACCCTGGACTTCCTCTTCCGCGACCTTCACTTGCCATCCAATCACCAGCGAGTTCCAAATCCTTATCTTGGGCCCAGACCTCTGTCCTGATCTCCAGCCTCCAGGACATCTCCCTGGTGACCTTGGATCTGTAGTTGAGGCTGCCCTTTCTTTCTCCTACCCCCATGGCACTTTCCTGCCCTTGCTCAGTGACTGACTATGCCACAGCCCAGGCAACCACACCAGTCAGTGACTGTTCCTCATGGCACTGCCGCAGCCTTAATTCAGGCTGTTATCACCCTTCGCCTGTGTTACCATCTTCTACTTCTAGAACCAACCCATCTCCCCTGCCCCCTGCCCCCTGCCCCAGGCTCCAGGTTCAAGCCAGGGAAGAGACTTTTCTTAACATCTACATTTAAATCCTGAAGGAGTTGTGGGATACAATGGATGTTACTATCCAGTACAACTGTTGCCCGTTGCACAGATGGGAAGAGTGGGATTCCAGTCTATGTGTAATACTGATTAGGTCATTGCCATGGGGTGGGAGTTAGAGAAATGAGAGTAGAAGAGTAAGTGGGAGGGGGGAGCCACTGCCTGCGAGTAACTGCATCTCTCTCCTCCCTGTTTTCCCTCTTTTGTATCTGCCAGGACCAGCTGCTCTTCTGCGACGACTGTGACCGTGGCTATCACATGTACTGTTTAAATCCCCCCGTGGCTGAGCCCCCAGAAGGTAACGATGATGAACTCCACAGTAGCAACCACAGCAGCTGCCACGCCCACCTCTCATTGACCCCTCACTGTGGTGCAGGCCTTGTGCTAAGGGATGCCCAGGCTTTGTCTCAGTTAACCCCCACGGCCCTATGAGGTTAGGTAGGACCACTCACAGATGACACATGAGGAAACTGAGGCCTAGTGCAGCCAGATGGGATTCCAGCTGACGGGTCAAGGAGATGTTTCTCAGGTGTGTGGCTGCAACAGTGGGGAGGTGTGAATTTCCAAGGGAACTGGTACAGGTGTACCAAGGCTGGCTAAGAGGTGTGACAGGGGGTGGGGCTCTTTACATAGTTCCCCTGTTACCTCTGAGCATCTTCACATCTTCACACGTTGAATTACGGAAGTCATAGGCAAATAGGAGTTAGCAGATATTAAAGCCATTACTAGGGCCTAAGAGTTAGGAGAAGGGCTGCTACTAAAGCTGTGTTGCCTCTCATAGGAAGCTGGAGCTGCCATTTATGCTGGGAGCTGCTCAAAGAGAAAGCCTCAGCCTTTGGCTGCCAGGCCTAGGGCCTCAGGTCACAGAATGTGACGTGCCGCCAGAGAGGCTGACCTGGAGCCCTGTTCTATCCTGATGGAGCTCTCTTCCTGCACATCCACACCGAACAACTGTAAGGAAAACAAGTAGTTACGGAAGGACATGGATGCGGAACCAGGAGGGCAAGGTCTCGACTTGCCTACCGCCCTGCCTACGACCGCCCTCCAGCCCCACACGGGGTATTCAGCCAGCCCTTCCTCATTTCTACCAGAGGGAGCTTGCACTTCTGAAGAACAGTTCAGCCCCAGCCTTGTGGAACCTTCCTCACGTTCGCCCTCACAGTGTATCCCTCTCATGGCTTCCCATTTTAGAGGAAGCCGTTTTGTGACTGCTCACAAGCACTGTGTTTTGATGGTGTTCTTTCTTTTTTAAGTCTCTTGTGTTGAAAGATCCCTTCACACAGCCTCTTCACCTTCAGCTTTGGCTCATCATCCCAAACTCTCACAGAGGAACAAAACGCTGCGGAAAAGTTGTTACTTATTACATGCTTCACCGGAAATGTCTGCGTTTGGAGGCCATCTTGAAGACGGAACTTGGAAACCTCTCGGTAAAGAAGTAGTTTTTCAAACCTCAGCAGTGGCCTCCACAGCTGGGATGGTCTTGATCCACTGCACCACCGCTTGATGAGGGGTCGAGAGGGCCCAAGAGATGGGAGGAAAAACCGGGACCCAAGCATAACCAGTTCGTATTTGCTGTTCAACAAGAGAAGCTTTGCAGCAGACCCAGGGGTTCCTTGACCTTCACAACTGTGGTGTCCTTGAGATGAGGCAAACCACAGCCTACAAAAACAGGAAAGTGCTGAAGATTCCCAGTGCCTCCCGACTGAGTTGAGTGTCAAGGCCTGGTTCAGTTTCCGCTGGTGGGAGTAGAGCATCAGCGAAGCGGGCAAAGGCTGCCTGTTCAATGGTCCAATGTTGGATAAGAGAGAGTGTAGCTTTGAGAAACCCTTCAGTGTTAATGCTACTCTGTGAATTCCTTTCCCGGGCAATTTCCTCCTTCCATGTAGTATATGTTTGCCAGTGACTACTGAGATGTGACTGAGAATCTTAGAATGGCGGAGAGATGATCATTGCTTAACTAGATCATTGAGCATGGTGATGGCTTGTGACCTGGTGGCGGTGATTCAGAACCCTCGTCTGCTCTTGTAGCGGAAGCTCCCCCGTGTGAGCCGGACTCCTGTTTAAAATAAGAAAGTTTCTAGAGAAAGAGGTGGCGAGGCCTCGATTCTGAGAACTCTGTGTGCCAGGAGACAGCCTTGTGGGCTGCAGTGGGGTGGGCTGTCTTCGGATCACAGCAACAGCTTGGTAACTGGCGCATTTCTGGAAAAATCATTTGCCCAAAGGGCAGGTCTCAGTGAGCAGGACCCTCGCGCATGCTCGGCTTCCCTGAAATCAGTTCCATCGCTGTGGTCCAGCAGCTTTGTAACAAAGGCCTGGGTTATTTTTAGTCTTCGGCTCCTGAAGAAGCCCCTGGAGACCTGGGCTAGTTGGGCCACTCTGCCCAGATGCGGCATTGCCTCTGCCACTCCACAGGACTCGTCCTCCCCCTGGCTAATTGCTCTTGGCACATGGACCCGGGGCAGCCTGGCATGGATCCAAACAGTGTGCTCCCCTGCCCCCAACTCCTTTGCAGAGTGACCTGTGGCAAGAGAGTGGGGGTCTCCTGCAGGCCCTGTGGCCTCTGAGCTGGTTACATGCATACATAATGATCTCACTTAAAGGGCCCTTGTGCAGGCTGCATTTCTGCCTTCTTCACAGGCTCTCTTCTTCCTCCTGCTGGTTGCTGAGCCTGCGTGGATTCTAAAGGCCCAGGGAAGGGTTGGAGGGGGGGCCATCTCCACAGAGTACCACATCCCCTTTTCGGACTCTGCAGGCTCGCTCTCTCTTCCCACAAAACCTAAAGCAGGGTATCCTCAAAGGCTAATTACTTGGTTGAGGATTCATTTTAAATTAATTTTAGGGGAAAAAAAGGTCCAAATGTTCTGGAATGCCACACTGGCTCAAAGGTGGAAAAAAACCAAGTCTAAAACCCCAAACTGTGGTTCTGAGACTTGACAGGTCCCCTTCTGGAGTGCACATGAGTCTGTTCCCTACAGAAAGGCAGATGGGGGAGGCTTTCCGTTCTATATCCAGTCATGCTTGCTCTGCCCATGCAAGCTAAGGGGAAACAGGCCTCCCTAGCCAAGCCAAGGCATCAGTGGGAGCTGGGGGAGCCTGCCCATGGTGCTGGGCTGGCTGAGCTCTGGGTTGCATAAGAAAGGCTCCTGGGGTCCTGCAGAATGGGCTCAGCCATTCTGCTTTGGAGGTTTGGGTTTGGTTCCCCACGGAGGAAGAGAGCCTGTGAAGAAGGCAGAAATGTAGCCTGCACAACTTGTGAGGTGCCCTGTCAGGGTGCGACAGACCAGGCCTCCAGAGCAACCTCCTGTGTCAGAAGAAGAAGGCACTACTAAAGAAAAACTGAGACCCGCTTTCTCCAAGTGCGGGAGTGAGCGGTGGTCACTGGTTCATGGTTCTAATGTCCTTTTACCCTAGCAGTGTGTGGTCTTGGACAAATCACTTAGCATCCTCAAATCTCGATTTGCCCATCTGTAAAATGGAATTGCTGACACTTGCCTTTTCTTTTCCACAGTGACACTGGGGAGGGCCCCCCAAAGTATAGTGTTGTAAAAACAACCATCCCCAGGGCCCAGCTTGCCTTGTGGGAACTCCAAATGCTTTCTGACTCCACCTTTTTGTGAATGCTAGCCAAAGCTAGATGCCCTCTTGGAAACTCCCTCTTGATGGAAGAGGCTTCCTCCTCAAGGGCCAGGTTGTCTGTGGTCAGGGCTCCTAAGCCAGGGCTGTGGGCCATGGAGACCATGGTTGGGCATGGGTGGTAATGGGAGGAGCTCAGGGGCTGGGGACTTGAGGATGAAGATACCATAAATGCATGTGCATGAAGACGGACAGACAGAAGCATACACACACACACACACACACACACACACACACACACACAGCATCAACATGAGTAACCACCTGGAATGGGAGTGGACTTCTGTGGAGGGCACTGTGTTCTTGTTCAAATGTAGCATCACTTTCAAGCTGGTTAACTCTGGTCAAGTGGTTTTGCCCCTCTGAGCCTTGCTGCCCACATGTGTGAGGTAGAGAAATGTAGCCTGTTTAGAAATCTAGCCGGGAATATTAGAGTAATGCTGATCTTGGGGTAGGTCTTGCTAAAAAGAGAGCCTCCTGCCTATGATAGCCACTGTCATTTTGTGCAGAGGTCACTAAGAGAAAAGAATGATGCGGTTGAACACCCCTCAAATCCCCCAGCAGGGTTACTGTGTTCTAATTCAGCCTTCGAGCCTCATATGGTGACTGAAGTAGCCCTGCTGGAAAATCAACTCTCATTTCCTCTTCAACACTTTGGAGACCCTGCATTTGGGGCCTGCAGCAAATACAGGACAGGTAACCCGGTAAGGAAACGGGAATGATGTTCCTGACAGGGAACTGACATTCCTGTCACCCTTCTCAGCCCCTCCTGAGGCAGAAACCAGCAGGTCCCAAGATGAAGCCATCCTGTGGATAACTGAGTAGGGGAGAGAGAGAGAGAGAGAGAGAGAGAGAGAGAGAGAGAGAGAGAGAGTCAGTCAGTCAAAGGAGGCTTAGCAGTGTCTGGGGAAGGAGGGTCTGGATACCACTCTGGGTATATTTAGTCTTCAAGAACAGTTCCTTCCAGCCCGCCTATTTAAAAGTCCAGGTGCTTCAAAGAAGAAAAACGATCCTTATTACGTTTCAAGTTCAGGAATCCTATGCAGTTGCCGTGGGTGGAAGAAAGATCACCTGCGGCTAGGCTGCAGAGGGCTTGGAAGAGGGTGGTAGTTTCCTCTCCCAGCCCACAGGTGCAATGCAGCCACGCTTGGCGGTGGTCCAGGCAGGGTCCTGAAGACGCTTGCATGCCCTCTGCCTCTGGGTTTGGAAGTGCTGAGGAGAGAAATCTCTCCCCTCCCCCTCCTCACTAAGGTCCATCCTTAGTCCCCCTTAGGGAATTCCAAAGTCATGGTCCAAGGGTCCAAGGGTCCAAGGCCATGGCCACGCCCACATGGCCACTGCAAGTGTTTGAGTCCCCGGCCTGGCTGCAGGCAGGAGCAGTATACTGGTGACTGATGTCCCTTAGAAGGGCAGCATTCCTGAGCTGGGGTGGGGGATGGGGGGAGTCAGGGGTTAGTGAGAAAATCAGGCAAAACCTAACAAAGAGAAGAGAGGGGAAGGATCCTTGAGTGAGGGTGAGAGCCCCCAAAGGGAGCTGTTGGGGTTGTAAGCAGAGGGCCAGGGGGAGTGAACAGTTACCTTAACAGCCTTTTTCCTCAGTCCTGTGGTCCTGGAAAACAAAACTGTCTGAAAAAAGAAACAAAAGCCAAACCTTTACCTGTCTGTGGACATTGAGCTGGCCTTCCTTCCTCTGGGCTCCTGGACTCTGGATCAGTGTTGGTAACGAGGACTATCTGAGGGCAAGGAGGATGAGACCGGTGCTCCTCACCAAGTGGAAGTAGGAAGGACCCCACCCCCAGGCTCTGACCTGAGTCCGCATGGATTTTTCCCACTCCCACTGATGAGTGTCCTTATATCTGGACATAAGTTACTGAGGCCCCTGTGGTCTAGATTGGCTAGGGGCAGGTGACAGATGGCAGCAGAGTGAGCTTGATCCTGTACTGCAGCCTTGAGCATGGGAGCAGTTTGGGGCATTGCTGCTGCAGTGCTTAGACCCATGGGCCCTGACTCTAGCAGCTGGAAAGAGAGGCAGGGGGGCCTGGTCAGCCTTTTCCCCACCACCTGGCAGCGCAGACAAGGCTCCCTGTCCCTCGCTGTCTGCTGCCCACTTGGACCGTTCCAGGAGCTCAACTTTATCTGTCACAGCTGAGGAAGGGGAGGATCTCATAGTTTTTATTTGCCCCAAGTCCACAAGTCTCCCCACTGCCACCCCAACTGCACCGAATCTAATTTATGAGTAGTCAGAAAGGCCTTGAAGACCATCTGTGAGTTGGCTTCCTTTCCCCAGCATTCTCAGGACTTGGGGTCTTTTCGATCCTTTCCAAGGTCACAGTTTTCAGGCTTGAGTGTGGGAACAGCAGGATGGATGGGTTGGCTCGGGGTCTTTGAGAGCTGGAAACATCTTTCTAATGATGCTGGAGACCTTCTGGTTTTCGGAGGGACGGTGGGGTAGGGAGATGGGGAAATTTGCAAATTTGCGGTGGGTCAGGGGGAAGGGAGAGAGGAGGATGTGGGAAGATGAAAGATGTGGGCTCTCCCAGCATCACAACAGTTGCTCCTGGGAAGGTTCGGCTGTTGGCCTGTTCAAATGGGGCTGTGAGAGAGAGGCCCAAAGGAAGCAACTTCAGGAAGCCCTGAAGTGGGGGAGGGAGGCTCCTGTTTTGCCATTTCTACATCAAACCCATCTCTCAGAAGAGACAGAAACTCTCCCCTGTGAGGAGAAATACTGGAAGTCCAGAGTGAGGTGTCTTAGATTCCTCTGGGTTCTGAGTGAACCCTGGCTATGCCCTCCTGACTGAAAGTGATCCTCAAGGTCTGTGAAGCTGTGAGGGCTGTCTTAGAGCCAGGGGGTGCAGGGATGCACTGTTGGAGCCTCAGGTGGAGGGGCCAGCAGCCTTAAACAAGGAACACTCCATAACATCCCCATATCTGGCCTCCCCAGGAACAGGAGCATTTGTGCTGATGGTGGCATTTCCCAGGGCAGGGCAAAGGAAGGCGGCACTGGGCTGGCAGGCAGCCAGAAGCCTCGTCCATAGAGATACAATTACTAATAATGACCTCTAGCCTGGAAACGAATAAGATGGCCATTCAGGTTGGCACCAACTGGGTCTGGCAAATCTACAAACCTGGGGCTGGGAAGAGACATTGTAGGAAATAGAGCCCGTGAGGCCCTGGGGCCTTCGTATTCCCTCAGCAGACAACTCTGAGAAGCCCCAGCTTATATTTCCACTCAGTTCATCTTAGCTTCCCCTTTTTTCATCTCTATTGTTGTGTTACGATTATTAATATTGATAACCAGAGCAGGTGCGTGTGTGTGTGTGTGTGTGTGTGTGTGTGCGTGTGTGTGTGTGTATGTGTGTGTGTGTGTATGTGTGTGTGTGTGTGTGTGTGCTGGCCTGAAGAAAGCCATTGGTATTGATCCAAGAGGAATAGGAGAGGCAGGAGCAACCAAGCAAGATGTATCTTAACTGTCCCTGAAGTTTGCTACAGCCAGAGACTCCAGTGCACAGTCTAGACCACCACCAGGTTCCCACGGTGGAACTCTCCTGGCCCTTCCCATCTTTCCCAACCCTCACCTCTGCCCATCTGGGAGAAGTACTGAGGATTTGAGAAAAAGAAAAAGCCTCCATTTATGTAATCAACATGGTGCAAAGACTTTCTGGCTGGAATTAGGCCTGGGTCTTTGTTGACTTGGTTTGCTCTTTCGCGGTTACTCCCCAGAGTGTCCTTCATTCTCTCCCTCTCCCACCTCCTCCCTTCATTTGCACTTCTCCCTGCCTTCCCTCTGCCGTTGCAAAGGCTAAAGAGTGCAGTGGTGGCTGGAAGAAACTGTGACATAAAAGAAAAATATACCCCTGTGCATTTTCAACACGCAGTTGAAGAAGGCTAAATTAAGGACTGGCAGAGGGGGTGGGGGTGGGGCACGGAGGGGAAGCCGAAGAAACGTGGCTAGATACTATCTGAGTGAAACATGAAAACAGAATCTTGGGGGCGGGGCCAGAGACGACGTGGAGCAGGTGGGCTGGGTAGGCAGGGGGCCCCAGCTTGCCAGTGTGTCAGGTCCATGTGGCATCTGGGGAAGCAGACAAATCGTGCTTTTGCAAGGGCTTAGGAGCGTTTGTGCTCCTCTCAGGCAGGGGAAGAAATGGCCAGCCTAACTGCCACTGTGTATCTGCCGTGCTTGTCCACCCTGGTTACTTTTATCCCCCCGGAAGGCAGATGAACACATCTCTTGCCTGCCAAGAGCGAGTGCTGGGCAAGCTGGTACCGGCTGAAGCACTTGGCAGGGGACTGAATATGCGCAAAGCAGTGGACTTGGTCTGCAGGGGCTGGAAAACCAACCTCACCCTGGCCCAGCCTTTGGGTTGCATTATCCACTGTAAAAATATTCCAGGGACTTCTGTTAACTATCCTGCCACCAGGAGAGGGTTGGTTATCTGCATGTTCATTTCTGTTTTGGAGAGGTATTCATATGATGAGCAGGTAGAAACATCTAGTTACTTCCACCTTCTAGAAGTTGGGGAGAATATGATCCCAGCTTCCTTGCTCTGATTTGTTATCCGGAGCACTAGCTGCCCTAGAAGATCCGTATCCTCAGCTCGGAGATGCCGTGGAAGGTGTTCATCTTTAGCATCAGAGTCAGGGAGATGAGGAACCGGGGTCCCTAACTGAAGAGTGTCAGGCAGCAAGGTAATTTGAGGTTCTCTCTGCAAAACGCTGTTTTTGGCTTTCTGGAGTAGAGGTCAGGGAGGTGTAATTGGCAGGGTATGATCAGGAGTGACAATTAACTGACCCGAGAAAGTGGGAGTCTCATGCCTGCACTGAGTGGACACCGCTGAAACCCTGCAGGCTGGGGCTCAGCCTCTAGGAGACAGCTTCTGTCATGGTCTCGCTGGCATAGGTGGATGCGCCCAGCAGCAGGCACTTTCAGCAACCTCCCCTGGCTG